CCAGGAATCACATGGCGAAGTATAAGCATTGGATGGGGCTGGCGGCCGAGCAAGCGGGCAGGAAGGAGGTGCTCCCGCACATCACAATGTTTATCCCCCGGCGAATCGCAAGCTTATGCAGTTTAGGCTTTGCTGTTGGGCACTGGCGGCTAACAGAACGCGTAAGGGACGGCGTTATATACCTAGGGAGGAGCGAGTATGCCCTTGCTGCGGCACTGGTAGCCACATCGAGGATGAGAAACACATTTTGCTGGACTGCCCGGTTTACGACGGAATCAGATCTGATATGGGCTTTCCACGCTTCGAACATATGAAGGACGCTATGAAGTGGGAACCTGAACGCCTGGCAAGGATGCTGGAACGTATATGGTCTCACCGCAACTCTATCGTTCCCTTTGGTCGTTAGTATACTTCATCACTTGTTTCGCTGGAAGTGCGAGGTAGGATGGTGCTTATAGGCGATTTGGCAGCCCTTGAGCCCTCGGCTCGTACTAGGGTGGTTTGCAGGTACGGGGAACGCACCCACGACCATGTAACAACAACAACAACATACATACATACATACACACATACACAATTTCCCACAAGTGCATGTACAAAAACACTTGTGGCTTTCTTGCCGTCTGAGACCTCAAATCAAATTTTCGTTTACCCAAAATGAAACTTCATAGCAGCAGCTGCGTCCCAAGGGACCCCCAAAAGACGACCCGCGCAACGGCCAGCAACGAACGCCACACGCGCACGCACACCTCGCCTCCCCGCCTCCTCGCACCCGGGGCCCGCATCCTGCCATCCACACCACCAATTGCTACCGCATACAGCTCAAATCGGCCCCAGCCAGGAGGCCGCACAGCTGCGATGCGAACTAAACACATCGGTCATCATAACATATGTACATTTACGCATCTTGGGCTCATCTTGGGCCGCAAACAGTCTACGCATCTACCGCCTCTATCAGCGGACACTCAGGGAACTTACTGGCACGGGTTTCACCGACTGTGTCCTCGATTGCCCCTCCTGTGAATGCAGACGGCGCAACTTGGACAGCCCCACAGCTCCCATCACCACCACACACATTCCCTTTTTTCCATAGAAAGCAGCAGCAGCCGAAAGGAGAATCACGGCGCCGCATCGCTCTCCCCTCCCCCCCCTCTCTGTGTGATGCGCGCGCTCTTTATGTTGGTCTTTGGCATCACAGCGACCAACCACAGCTTGCAGCGCCCCTCCACGGCACCAGCAGAGTCATCATTGCCGCCGCCACTGCCCGCACCAGCAGCAGCACCAGCAGAGCAAGCCACAGCAGTGCCGAACGGCGCGAGGGTGCCACAGAAACTGAACGCAGACGGAGCTGCTGCTCGGTACAGAAGCAGCTAGCCAGCAGCCGCAACGAACGACACCCTGTGCGGTAGTCAGGGGCGGCCGCGGGGCGGGGCCACGGCAAAGCCCCGCTGCGACAGGTGTACGTCGTGCTTCAATTGATTAACTTACGTGAACTGACAGTGAAGGTCCGCCCCGGGGAGGTCCGCCCTTTACTAAATCTCAATCAAGTTGGGCCCAGAAGAACCCTGACATTTGTTTCCCACACAGCGAAGAAAAGGACTAGGAATAAATCTAGGACTAAAGAAGCCAGATTGATGGGCGAATCCTTGGCAACGCTATCAAGGGCGGCAGCACCCCCGCGGTGCTACCTCCAAGGCACCCGCGACTATTCGCTAGACTAGCGATCTCTTGGGAAGTGCATTTCCGCATGGTGGTAAAGCATATCCTCGCGGTCCGAGACCGCACCGTAATGAGCTTTTCCTCCCATAGGCCGCATAGGCGCAATAAAGGTTCCTCACACAGAGAATGACCGGACCCAAGCCATGCGCGCCGCGAACGCCACCACTCCCGCTGCCGCCGCCGCCGCCGCCAGCCTGCCGAGCCAGCTGCTGACCGAGCTGCGGCGAGATACCTGATCGCCATCGACCGTGATGTTAGCACTAGGAGTCGCGTCGCCGCCACCGCCAGCGGCGTCCTTTGAGGAGCTGCCGAAAGCGGAACCACCAACACAGCTGCAGCTGCAGCTGCTGCTGCAGCGACGCTCGATGCGTAGTGATGCAGGGAACATCTCTTCTCCAGCGGCACCCGAAAGGGCAGCGGCGCCTCCGTGGGGCGGCAGCGCGAGCACGTCGCCAGGAAGGAGCGCAACAAGAGAGGACAAGCAGGCCGCACCTCCGCTGTCCGAAGGCTGCGCCGCCGTCGGGAGACTGGCGGGCGTCATGGGGGCTACACAGCACGGGGGCGCAGCAGCCGTTGGCGCAGTGCAGCCCGACGCCGTGTCAAGCTCACCAGCGCAGCCGGCTTTTAGTACCTCTTTCACTCCCACCACCTCTACTCCGCAGCGATCCTGCAAGGCCTCCGCTACCAGCCGCACACTGGCCCACATACCGCGCTGGTACATGTACGACAGGAGCTGCTCGCCCGTCGCCACGGTGTCCGCCGCCGCTAGATCTGCCAGTCGCTCATCCTCGCTGGCATCAGCATCAGCAGCAGCAGCAGCAGTAACGCCCTCCGTCAGTGGCGGCGGCGGCGGCAGAGGTGACGGCGCCAGCAGCTCCGCCACGTCAGCGACCATGTCGTACATATGGTCGCGGAACGCCGCCAGGCGGGACGGGCTGTACGGCAGGTGGGGTTGCAGGTCTTCATCTGTGGCGCCGCTGTCGTAGAAGATGGCGGCGGCGTGTTCGTCGTACGCCGCCCTGAGCTCCTCCGATACGGCGCTGTCAGTTACGAGCAGCAGCGGCAGCGCCGCAAGGACGCGGTTCTGACTGCGAGTTCCTGTCGACCCCACGTTGGCGCCTGCAACGTCACCGGTGATCATTCCCGACCCCGACCCGCTAAGCGCCGCTGCGATGTGGCCCCCCTGCGGCTCCTCCTGCCGCCCCGGCTGCTGCAGCGTAGGCAAGGCCGACCCGCGGGTCCGTGATCCGGGCTGCGGCTCCGCTGCCGCCGAAACATCCGGCGCGATGTGGGCGTCTGCGCTGGCGGCGGCACTGGTGCCCTCCCCCTCCGCAGAGTAGCCCACCCTCGGGGCGAGCAGGTGTACGAAGACCGCCGCGGCGCCGACACCGCCAGGGGCCCTCGTGTCCAGCAGCTGGTCCTGCGTTGAAGCGCATGACAGCCGGGAACAACAATCACACGATGACCAGCAGCAGCACCAGCAGCATTACGCAATTAATGCAAGACTTTCACGACAAGGTGAACCACCAGCGCAAGCCCTACTTTTACCCTCGCTACCGGTTTGTGGAAATTCCAATCCAAAAAGATGCTCAACACACACAACTACATCTTCACCCCCCCCCACTCCGCTGCATAACACTGAACTGTCCTGAACTCTCCCCGCAGGCCGCTCGCGGTCCTGAGACCGCCCCTCAGCCGCCGCCTTGCCGCCAACCTCAAGCTCATTCAGAGGGGTGATCAAGAGCTAGCCAAGGCCCTGCGGTAAGGCCCCTGCAGTCACCACCGCGCACTCACCACCACCATCCGGGGCAGCTCGACGTCCAGATACGCCGCCGGCCAGTAGTGGTAGCTAGAACCCAACTGCCCGGGGTCCGTATCCTCCGTCTCGCTCGCCTCGTGCTTCTGCTGGTGGTGGTGTTGGTGATGGTGGTGATGGTGGTGATGATGATGGTGCTGATGGTGGCGGTGATGATAATGGTGATGGTGGTGGTGGTGCCGATGGTGGTGATCGTTCTCATGCTCTCCGTGGCTCGTAAAAGGCAAGGGCCGCAGTCGTACCAGCGGCTTATCCAGCAGGGCTGAAGCCTCCTCAGCCGCCGCTCCCTCCGTCGACGCGCTCCCACTGCCGGCCCTGTTGCCACCGCCGCTGATTTGGGCCACCACCACACGCAACCCGAGCTCCGAAACCCCACCGCCACGGGCGCTGCTCCCTGCGACCCTCCCAGTATCCATCGCGCCCAGCAGCTCTGGCTGTAGCTCCGCCACTGTCGCTACAGCCTCAGGTGAAAGCACAATTCGAACTTTCCCAGAACACGCGGCGCCGGTGGTTTCAGCACCCAATGACGGCGTCACCGCAACTTCATCCAGGTAGCACGGCAGGAGTTCCTCAATGCCGCCGCCAACACTGCCGATTGACATGTCGCACACGTCCCAGGGCATGACGGCGTCTTGACCTGCGGTATCTTCCCAGTTACCCCTGCCGCGAGGGTGTGCCGCATCAGCGGTACCGTCGGCCGCCTTAGCACCTGCTGGCGATGGCGCCGCGACCGCCGCCGCCGCTGCAGCTAGCTCGTAAGCCATGAGCAACGCCGCGTCCAGATCAAAACCCTGTCCAGCTGTCTCCGCCTCGTGCGTGCTGGTCAAGACTGGATTTGGAGCCGCGGCCGGGAAGCCGCCAGACGTGCCAGCTCCACTCGCCGACGGCACGCCTCCCGCGTCCCCCTCGACTCCTCCACGCTCCGAGACCATTCCGATGACATCGTCTGCCGCCGCTGCCGCCGCCGCCGCCGCCATCTCTTTTTGTCGCTGTGGTTCCGATGCACTGATGGCAGCGGCCGCGCCGACGGCAAACTCCGCGGATCCGGCCTGTGGTACGGCAGGCTCCGCGCGCACATCACTAATGAAGGTACTACTGCTGCCCACCAGCTGTTGCATTGGAGATGCACCGGAATGCGGCCCCGAAACCAGCGCATTGCTCTGGCTGCTTCCGCCCATGGCGTCAGCTACACTGATGTAATTGCGCAAGGGGGCCCAGGCGGTTGCGCCGCCTCCGGCTCCCCCCTCGACGTTGCCGCCACCGCTACCGCCGCCACCGAGGAAGGTAAGGTCCCCGATGGCGCCCTGCAAAGGGCTGCTATGCGCATCACGTACGACATGCCATGCCCGGCGCGCCTGACTTGAGCGATCTGACATGGCAGTGGACGCGGGAAAGACGGCGTCGCGGCCGTCACTGCCTCCACCGCCAGGGCCATCGCCACCACTGCTGCCCAAGTGCTGGCGCATGGCAGCGGCGCCGCTGTTTGCACGCAGATCTGAAACAGTTGCAGCAGCAGCAGCAGCAGCAGCAGCAGCGGGGGCAGCGGTCCTGATCTCTACGTGGATCAGCCGCGGACCCCCGCAGGCAGTGGGAACAGGGCTACGCCGCAGCGCAGCGTCGCCGCGGCCCCCGCGTCCTTCCTCGGAGGAAGTATCACTTTGCCCCTCGCAAGATATGAACGGCGACCAGTGCCCTCCCCCGCCATCACTGGCATCGTCGCCATCATCACTGAGGTGCGATACGCAGCCACGCCTGCCGCCGCCGCCGCCGCTGCTACTGCCACGGCCGCCACCGCTGCCGCCGTCAATCACCCTGTGGGAGCTATGCGCTGAAGCGGTCGCCGCCGCCGCCTCGGCGGCGCCGGCCGCAGTGGGCATCATGGTATCGGCGGTCACCGTCACAGCCTCAAAGTGGCCCTCCTCCCCCTCGTCCAGGTTCGAGTCCTGTTCGGAGCTTGCTTCCCAACCTAGGGTGTCGCGTCTTGCTACGGCCGCTGTTGCAGCAGCAACAGAAGCAGCAGCAGCAGCAGCGCTGTGACCCTCTACTGGTGCCAGGATGTTGGCGGCGACGGCTTCCATGCAACACGACGAATCCAAGTCGCCACCTTCCGTGTCGGCATCTTGAAGAGGCAGCTGTAGCCGCCGCGCGAAAGTGGAGGCAGTGGGGATGGAAGCCCTGGCAGGCAGCAGTGGTGGCGGTGGTGAAGCAGCGGAGTGGTGGGCAGCGGGTAGAGGCCCTAGAGGCCCTAGAGGCCCTAGCTAAGTCAATGGTGGAGATGGCGAGGATATAGAGCACAGTAGCAGTAGCAGTAGCAGTAGTCGTACCGGGTACCCACGCATAACGGATGAAGGCGGGTTGGGAAAGGGAGGGGGGGCAGGAGAACTGCCTGCAGCTCGCAATGGAGCATCCTCTGCTCAGATGAAAATAAACATGATTGCGAAATGGATTGAAAAGACTGCCTTGGAAAGGCACGGCACTGCCCACAACGAAGGCCCCGGGAACTATCCCCATCCACCACACAGTCACCTGGGAAAGCGAACCACGTGAATCAGGTGCACGCAGCCCCGCACAACGACGCCGCCGCCCAGTGAACGCAGAAGGCTGCTGCTGTGCAAGCTGCCCGGCCCCGGCCCGGCATCGTTACCGTTGCCAATGCCGCCGCTGTCGCTGGGGCACGTAAGCGACCGCAGCGCGGCCGACATGGCGCCGCCGCCGTTGACGGCTCGTGATGCGTCGCGGGTAGCACCCGACAGGGCGGCCGCCGCCTGCGGGAAGCCACCAGCCAAATGATGACTGTTCACTTTAACACTCACGACGAAGGAGCCAAGACGAGACGTATACAGCGGGTGGCAGCCGCCGCCGCTGCCTCTGCGGTCACCATATGCCGTACTGCTACCGCCCCATGGGTTAGTGTCACGTCTTGTTGCAGCCGGCGTTGGGTCCAGCAAGCGGAGGTCCAGGACGGGCCTGCGGCTTGACCGGTAGGGACGTGGTGCCGCCTGTTGTGGGGAGAAGGTGCCTCCGGACGAGGCTTCGATCTGGGCGCTCTCCGCGGGATTGCTAATCGCAGAGCTGGCTAGCAGTGTGTGGACCTGTGGGGAGTGTAATTGTGATGGGAGCACCTTCGAGTAACTGTATGAATGGACACCGGGCCTGCCGGGGCTTCCGGTGGATGCTAAAGACGGCGTCGTCGTCGTCGCTGCTGCTGCTGCTGCTGCTGCTGCTGCCGCCGCCGCGAGCACTGTGCCGCCACGAGCACGGTCTTCTAGCCGGGGGCAGCATGTGCTGCCACAAGTGGTGGGAGCGCCCGGCCCTGGATGGTCGGAATGAATTACGCAGCCTTTCACGCGTGAGGTTCGCTGCTCCACAGCCGGCATATCTCTACCCACAACTACTGCTGCCTCCTCGCCGTTCTCGCCATAGCTTTCGAATGCATGGCTGGTGCTGCTGTTGGCACGACAGCCTTGACCGCTGGTCTCTGTGCTGTCCGTCGCCTTAGGGCCCGACGCGGCAAGCAGCAGCACGGAATCGCTCTGGGAGGCAGTAGTAGCATTCGCGGCAGCAGGCCCGTCATCCGCGTTACATCGGCGGACGCCGCTAGAGGAGCAGGGCCATGCCACGGGGCGGCAGTCGGTGTTGTCCTCGCAGCTGGCGCCATCACATTCGTACAGAGCTGAAGACGCGGAGCCGACAGCTGCAGCGGTACTGCTTGCGGTGCTGCAGCAGGTGCCTTCCCCGTCCCCGCCACTGCTGCTTATTGGTTCCGGTTCCCCGGTATGGAGGCAGCAGCTGCTGCTGCTTCCGGCCCTGCTGCCGCTGCCGCCGTCGCAGCCGCAGGTGCCAGCGCTACCACCGCCGCTACTACCGCCGCTACTACCGCCGCTACTATCGCCGCTATTATCGCCGCTGCCGGTCCCGTTCAGTCGGGTGCTATTGCAACCCCGGAACCCCCTGCTGCTATCCTTAGCAGTTGCCAGCGATGCCACTTCCACGGGCTCCTCCTGCATCGGCCTTCGCGCCGCCGCCGCCGCCGCAACGGCTTGAGAGCGTTGGTGTGCTTGGCGCATCGGCCCTTCTATGACGTACAGCAGCGACGTCGGAATCACCAGCATACAGCAGATCAGCAGCAGCACGGTCTGGAAGGGCCGCTGAACCGACCCGTGGGTCATCAGGTCTGTCGCGATGATGGTGGCCCAGACCAGCGCCGCTTCCACAAGACACAGTGGCATTTGGAACTCCAAGGGCAACTGGCAACACCAGAAGACAAGCCAAGGGCAACCAAGGCGGCAAGTGATGGGTTAGAAAAGCAAGAGCCAAGGTCGTGAGGAAAACATTATTGCAAGAGCAAAATGATGAACGGTGCGGCCGGACGTTATGTGTGCCGAACTGCGTGCCAGCTATACTACAATAGCACAAAGATTCCTTAGCAAACGACATGCAACGCAAGCCGCCCGACGAATTCACACCATTCACACCCCACAAAAGGCAGAAACCCACCTTCACCATTGCCACATCCAGCAGAAGGTTAAAAAGGTAGGCTTGAAAGCGGTTACAAGCCATGTAGTACTTGCCACAACTCAGCGGCAGTAGCATGGCTCCCGTACGCCTGCCGTACCGCCACCAGAGCTGCAGCACAGTCAATAAGTTGCCCTGCGGTAGAAAATCACAGCCAAGCAGGGCATATGTGTTTCCCCGTATAAGGTGACCTTACGTTTGCGAATGATCCCCCGTCCAAATCTGTCAGATGTGTCAGCGTTCGATCAGCCCAGAAGCCTCCCACCATGTAACAACATTACCTTACATTACATTGCAAAGCTGTCTGCACAGTCGCGCAAATCCTGTCTGACCCAGATCAATTATCGCGCCTTAACTGACCCCCTGAACCATGGCCTGACTTCCTCCGCGCACGTGATCTAAAGCTGCGACCCCGCGAGGAAAGCGCGATGCGAGTTTCGCTCTGCCCTGCCCGCCGCGCTTACCGCATACAGGGCTAGTCGCACGCCGACCACCAGGCAGTGCCGCAGCACCGCGCGGTTGCGCTGCGCTGCGCGAGCCCTCCCTTCATCTGGGTCGCGTGCTGGACGCAGTGCTAAGGCCTCCGCTATGACCCAGGTCGCCGCGGCGAGCAGGAAGACCAGGAGGGAGCTCATGAAAAGCGGCTCGGCAATATCCAAAGGCCAGATGGAGTAGAATTGCAGTGGGTACATTTGCAGCAGCGTGTAAAGGGCACGACCAAAAATGCTGTACCTGGAACGTGGTCAACAGGAATTGAAGGGAGCTTTGGAGCGATGACTAATTAAAAACGTAACGATGTGTCGCGCGCAATGCAAACAGGTCAAGCAACGCAGGACGCATCGGTAAAACGCTGACGCTGGAAAGTGGGCGCTGACGCGGTCTAAGAACTCGGCTCCTTTTGCTGTCAACCCGCGTATGGATGGCGTGCAAGGCAAGTCGGCACGGTCGGGAAGAGGGGCGGGGGGCTGCTGCGGGGCGCGGAAAAATTCAAATTGGCCTAGTCCAGAGGATGCCACGTCAGATGCAAACTTTCACCTGCATGGAAAATCGCGAATGACCGCTTGCTCATAAATCCCCATGTGGAGCGCTGGACGGAGCTGAGTCTGGTGGTGAGGACAGGACTGGACCTCGCGCTCGGGCTGTTCTCGCAGGTAGGCACAGCCGGCGCGCAGCGCCAGCGCGCGGCTCAAATGCACAGCGGGAATCAGCAGAACCTCCAGCACTACGATGGTGAGGTCAGAATAACGGTGTGCCTCCGCGAAGTAGACATGGAAAGGTCGCCCTCGAAAGCATGTTGCTGCTGCCTGCCTCGGTGCAACTTGTGGAGCCCGCGGCTCTGTTGACGGACCGCCAAGGTCCCTGCCTCTAAGCAGGCGCAGGTGGGTGTGCGTAAAAGGCATATCATGTAAGACCTGGACGGCTTTTACCAGTGTTGGGGCCCTGTAAGGGACTTCTCTGCAAGGAATGCAGTATTGAGCTGTACGGGAGCCACATATGACATCGAAGCATGGTATGGATATGATGGGGCTGATCAAATGCGTATATGGGGCTAACAGTTCTCCGCAGCCGGCGCCAAGAGTGATCTCTGACACTCTTCAGTTTCGTCCGCTTGCGTCAAGCCGAAATGTCTTTTGTTACCTTTTGTTAACAGCAGCCATGCTCCTGGTATTGATATCATAGGGTAAGAGGTGGGCTCGAGATCAAGAAAGATATGTTGGCTGTCCCCAGAACTGAACTGGGTAATTGTGACCCGCCACGCATATTACTCAGGCTTGTGGCCCTTCAGTAAGCCACAACGCGCGCAGGAGGCTTAAATAGAGTGCGATGCTCTCATAGACTACAGGAGTACTTAAACCAAACTGTTCAGATACTTCAGCCATCAAATTGCTTTACGCCTGGCGTCATGAACATGCCAGCGAAGCAAACAAATTAAACAAAATGGCATTCTCTATGCATTGCATCAACGTCGAAAACAACATGAAAACCTGCGCTGTCAACAAAAAATTATCAAATCACTCATCCGGGGTCGGGAACAAGTTTAAAAACATCTCTTGGCAACCAGAAGCCGCTCGGCCTCTCACTTCTTACTTCAAGCGAGCTCGACAAAACGTCACGGGTAAAAATCTAGTATTCAAGTAGGCCCTTGCGATGTCCCAAGCTATGTAAGCTAAGAATGCAGCATAGCTTGGGATGGCTGCAGTAAAGTTTACGTCTACTGCACCTGGCTGCATCTTTTCATTTGCATGCAACCACTGGGCCCAGAGCTAAATTCGGCCATTACCCCCTCTCCCCTCTATCCTCCCGTCACTGAGGCCCCCGGGCACTTGTGCGGAACTTGTAACTTGTAGCTAAACCAAGAGAATGGGCCCCAGCAAGCTGCCTGTCTCAAGCCACCAAAACCCTCCCACCTCAACCTCCCACAAGCCCCCGTTTATAAGGTTCCAGAACTAGGGGCCGTATTCAAATGCCCCCTCTTCCTGCGAAGAAACTCCTCTCTCCACCCCATCTCCACTTCCACCCTACTCTTACCGGCTGGCAACCAGCACGCGAGGACCTCAATCACTGTTGCCGGCCTCGCCGTCCCCCTCATCACCCCGCGGCCCCGGGCCATCACCCACGCTGTCCAGATTCCTTGCTGCAGATGCGGAGCCTATTACTGGTTCCGATGCATGCGGCCATCTCAACACAGGCTCGCTGCTCCCCATCTACCCTTTAGATGCCGAATCCCGCGGCGCTGTGGCCGCCTTCAGCGGCTCCGCGGCCATGCGTGTTGTGGCCGCCCTAGCTGCGACGCACACCGCCACCGCGCCTCTCCCAGGAGAAGGGGGAAGGACGGTACTGCTGCAGGGGCGGCTCTCCGTTACAGTCACTGCTGCCAGAGCCATTCGACGTCCCAGAGCCGCCGCTGCACCAGAGCTTACCCGCGTCGGCCAGCCGCCCGGCGGCCCGCGTGTTGGAGGTCGGGGCTGCACAACGGCACAACAGGCAGCCGAATAACTAAACCTTGCTGCCCGCCACTTGGCTCGCAGCGGCTGGCAACATTGGAGGCGACTGCGGTTGGCCGTGTGCGTTACGACATCACCCGTGTTTGCGCCACCGTTTTCTTCTCCCTTGTCGTCAGCTTCCACCCGGCCGAGGGAGCGCTACCGACCGGCCGTTGACGTGCGGTATTAGGTTTCGGAGCCGCCGCCGCCGCTGGTGTCGGCGCCTTCGGCCACCTCCGTCTCCTCCTTTGCGCTCGCCTTCTCGTCGTCGGGTGCCAGCGGCCACCAACTGCTCTCGTCCAGCTCAGAGTACGGCACATTCGCGTGCGGAACATCACCGTCAGGCTCGAAGGCGTCGAGTGCTCGCCGTCGGCGCTGCCGCTGCTGCCGCCGCCGCTCTGCGAAGCGCCGAAGCCGGAGCTCGCGCATCTGCCGCCAAGGCACCGCTGCCGCTGCCGCTGTTGCCGCCGCCGCCGATGCTGCCGATGCTGCTGCTGCTGCAGCTGCTGCCACACCGGGTCCCCCAAGGTGCGCGGCCGCATCCGCCGCCCTTGTCATCACCACTGCTGCCGCCGCTGCCTCCGGCACGGTGTCGGCGGGTACGGCTCTGGAATCTAGTGGAGATGGAGGACGAGCAAGGATGTACGTGTACGGCATATTCGGTTCGGACCGCCACTCCTGGAGGTCCCCATGACGGAGAGAGTGGGGTGGGGGTGAGGGAGGGTGTGG